CCGGACAGTAGGAATCTGTAAAGTGCACGCATGAATGGATGCATTTTCGCCATGGCGTTCACCAACGTTGACAGCTCTTCCACAGACAATGGATGCGCCTTTCTCTCGTCGTCAAGAGCATTCTTCTTGTTGAACTTTTTCAGGCCAACAATATAGCGCTGTGTGGAGGCATCTTGAGCCGGATTTGGATGAATGTTGATGTCCTTGAAAAGCGCAACGAGAGCAGTCTTTGCGGTCGTCACAGTTCTTGCGGATCTCCCCTTTTCAACGAGGGAATGGAGGAAATCAGTGCATGTGTCCACTGAGGCGCTCGCAAACGGCACATTTTGAGTCTTGCAGAAGGCTTGGAACTGTTTTTGGTAGGAAACGTATGTCTTCTTCGTTGATTCGCTATGAAAGGATTCTTGAATGGCCGTCTTGGAAGGCGTCTTCCGTGGAGCTTTCGGCACCTTGGGCACCTTGGGTCCTGGCATTGCAGCGTCAGTTTGTAAAGTGGCCAGCGTCCAACCAAACGAAATAATATCGAAGTATACTAAATTGAAGTGATTATTGTTTATAACTCGTCATTTTTAGACACCCTGACCGACCCTCCAAACTATATGACGAAGTGTATGGAGAGATTATTCATCCAGTAGAATTGGTCGCACAAACACATTTTAGCCAACCGGAACGTAAGAATGGTCGGTTCTTGGTCGGTTCCAAGGTTTATCTATACGTAAAGTCAGATGCCCGAGATTGAAAGGATAAAAAAGATAAATTCATATAACAACCCACCGGTCAAAAATAACAACCCACTGGTCATAAAATTATCAGAGGTTTATGACTGCGGTCATGACCAAAACGATTGATATCCTGGATAACAATGGAATGTGAGAGGTTTTCGCTTTGATATTCAAGATATCATTGTTTTTGGTCATAATCAATCAAGAAGTTTAAAATATAAGGCTTTCAACCAATCACGAAAGTATGATTTTAGCCTATCAGAGTCTGTTCGGATTTGCGTTCCACCAAAAATTGCATCTTCAAATTTGACTCGAGGACGGCACAAATGGGGAAAAGACTGGTCACAAAGGACGACAATGGGGACTACCATTGCCCAAAATGTGAAGCCAAGTACAACGAAAACCAAAAAGACGCTTTGCGCATGAACTGCACTCGGCATCACCCCGGCGAGTCTGTCGTCTTCAAGGCAACACAATCGGCTGCTGAAAAGCAAGCGATGGTCCGCGAACGAAAAACGGAAGTGGAAGGCAAAGCAAACGCCAAAGTCTCCTATGGAACCTCCACGCGAATTGTTCACGTTGTGCGATGCGAAGAAGAGGAGTGTCTATGGGGCTCAGAAGCCAATTGTCTACATCGCCGAATCGACGGTTTCGAGGTCTGGAATCGCCGTTTTTGCCTCTCAAACGTTGCTTCAAGGGGACATAGCAACGGTCTACGAAGGTGACCTTGTGAATGAATTGCTATTCTATCCAACGTATGCGTGCCAATTCCAGAATAATGACAAGACGTTGTGGGTCGACGGCCTTCGTAAGTTAGAGGAAGGAAAAGACGTCGGATCGTTTGTCAACCGACAATCACGACAACTCGGTATTTATAAGAACTGTGAGTATTTTTAACTGGGACGAACTTTGTGTATTCAAGTGACCAAGACGATCAAGGCGAACAAGGATCTCCTTGCTCTGTACGGCAAGGGTACAGATTGTAGGGATTGTAACCTGCATTAACATGCATGGTTTGTTTTTCTCACGCCTTCAAGTCACCAGGAGACTCTTGCGGAGTTTGAATCCTAAATCATACTGAAATCTCGCACGCCAGGCACCTCGTTTCACCCATCACTTTGTCCTCTGATAGAAAATACTAGTGGATCTGAATGGTGCTGCAGCAAAACTAACGAGTTGGACTTATGACCTCACAAGTGGTTGCCATCGGCGCCGTACACGAGTTTCACCAATCAGTTAACGACTTCGGTTGGATCGACAAATCAGCGATTGTTCGAAAAAGCGTTCCAGTTGTGAAAATTACATCTTCCGAGCAAGAAAACTAGTTCAAACTCACCCGAAAAGACCCAAACGACCATGAGGCAGAAGGTCGATGACTTTGCTGTAGTATTACATGCCCTCGTTTGCTCTCAAATGGCTCTTAATGTTACTGTCAAATCTGCTCCTTCTGACATGCAATTGGCGGTTGCCTTCTTGAGATAGTCGCACAATCCTCTTAAGTGTTTGTGCTTCACCAAAACGACTTCCAGCGCCGACATGGCTTCGTGCTCTGAAAGACCCTCCTCTTGTAGCATTTCGATGGCAAGATATAAAGGCCGTCGCCGAAGGAAAAACTGTTTTTCGGAGTTGTTTTTCCTCCAACCTCGATCGACCATTTCAACTCCTTGACGGCGTGTTCAGCCCATGGTGGTATTCTTGCCATGCCTGCTTCACTGTACAAACTTGACGTGACATATTGAATTCTCCATGTGCACCTTGAGAGTGAATTGGGTCGCTTGATGTAGCAGTGTCGTTGCGAAATTTATCCACGCGTTGAAGTGACGCGTTTGGCGATGTACGCTGTGTGGTGCTCATGGTCGGACACAGCGATGCTGCCACCTGAATCAACGTGTTTGCAATGTCTTGTCGTGCTAATGCAAGAGTGCCTGACGAGGACTCTGCAGCCGTGGTCAGTGCTCGGGTGACGTTATCGAGACGGCTATTCACCGCAGCGATCTCTCGGTGAATATTCAAGGTCTCGTTGCGCATCTCTTGAATGTTCTCGCTCACGAGTGGCAGTGCTTGATGCATAAGCAGACACTCCGGTGTTGGGGAGGTGTTGATGGTTGACAAAAGCCTTGCCTTGAAGTCGTGAAACATGGGATCTTGGAAGATGTAATGTGAGAAAAGAGGGAGGTTCTGGTACATTTCCATTCACAGCAACAGAGCGGCGTCTTGAAGCACAATCGCATACAAGTCAGCAAGTCGACGAAGCTCGTCCCAGCGATTTCTGTTTTCTGGTGTCCAGTGTGAAGCATGCTCTGGGACTTCGAGTTGTCCAGTGACCTTGCTTGTCCTCCGATTCGCCCGTAGCACCAAAGGTTTCTGACGTGGAGCATATCTTCCTTCCAGCTTGTGTTTTGACGGTTGTTTGAATACCTAGTAGTTCGTGTTGTCTCTTGATGGCTTTGTACTGCTCTGAATATTGCATTGGGGCACTTGGCTTTGCACCCTTTAAAACGTAGATGTCGTACCAAAGCTTCTTCTCGGACAAGTCAGGCCAAGGCTCGTCACTCAGTGCCACCGGTGGAAAAAGTATATTGCAAGCGCGCCAAACGGACAGCGTGTGACAACACTGTGCCGTATGAACGTTGTTTTCTCAACATTGCCGTATTGATTCCGCTTGGATTTTCGCCACACACATCAAAACAGTTGAGCACCATGAACACCTTCCTCGTCGAATGTCGCTAGGCCGATTTCTGAGAGCCTTAATCTTCGTAGATTGTCACCGCGAGTGCACAATGCAATAGACATCACGTTTTCAGCTCGGTGCTTCAAGCCCTGTTCAGTATGACTCGTGAAGAAATTGTCGTTGATCCTTCGCAATGCTGCTTGATTTACGCAATCGACCATGGTTCCCTTTCCTCGGTCAGCAAACTCGGAATTCTCTTGTTGCACCACTGATATCCTTTTTTGCTTCTGCAGCTCCTTGACGGCATTTGGGCGTATTGGCGGCAATAGATTTTGATTGAGCTCATCGAAACTTCCAAATGTCCATCATAGCATTTGTATAAGCAGCGACCGTGTGATAGCCAATGATTCGAATTTCCCCGACACGATCTTGTTTGCCTTCGTCATCACCATTGCTTGTTTCGATCACTCCACCAGCGTCAGTTTCTGGTCGTTTACGTCCACTTGATCTTACCGGACGTTCTTGGATGTGAGTCAAGAAGAGGGCCATTTTGGCTGGTGTTACATACTCATCAGTGTAGCCACAAAACCGATTCCAATTGATGAATTCCATTTGCTTGGTAGAGTATTGACGATCCGTTTGCTCAAGTCGTGTCGAAGTGCGGTTGACTCGAATTCTTGCCATGGCTTCGTGCTCCAAAACATGGAGTCGAAGCGCTTGCTCTCTTCGTGCGTGCATCTCATTCGTCACGTTTGTACACTGGTTCATCATGTTTAGTGCACGCGGTGAAGGAAGATGTTTGAATGCAGGAAAAATGAGTCCTTGATGACTATTTAATGATTTGGTTCGTTGTACAAGATGTAATTTCAGCTAGAACGCGATCCGCACAAGTTTAGACTTGGATGCGAACGTGTGTGTGTTTGTCAGGAAATTTTCATGAATAATGATGATTGATACTGGTCAATCAACATAAAAAATTCATGGAAATACTAATTGCCCTTAGAGAAATTGGTTGTCGGTTGGATTTGTCGCGTTTCCAATTTATCTACACATAATTACGACGTTTAACTGGACTGAAATGGAAAGCAGTTCTTCCCTAAATTCTTTGCGTTGATTGGCTCGACATCATATTCCCATATAATTTGCCGTAGTCATCAATTTTAAACTATCCATACAAAGACCAACATGACCCTTGTCATGACCTCCAGACGGTGAATGATATACTTTTTGCCATTTCCCAAGCCAATTTTCGAGAGTATCTCACCAGGTACACCAGTTTGCACAGGATGATGGCCCGAGTCGGAAGGCGTCACACGCGGCGACCGCCACTGGACGCCACGACAGTGCGTTCCGTGCGGTCGCTCACGGCATCGCGCGCTCCAATCATGTTGACCAGTCCAGCAGGGGAGGTGATTGAGATCTCGTCCGACGACGACAGCGACGTCGTAGTCGACATGGTCATTCCGGCGCCGGCCAACTCCCCGTTTTCCGAATACGGTGGATATTACAGTCCAACAGGAGGAGCCGTACGAAGGAAAAAGCGGAAGCCTGCTGTGCCCACAACTCTCAAGACTCCCGAGCAGGAACTGCACGACACTGCGGTGCTCGCAGCGCGCATGTTTGACCAGAACGCTGCGCTATCCCCCGAAGTCAAGAGCATGTACAGCCAGGTGGCGTGGTGTCGACTGCGAGGATGGCCGTACTGGCCTGGCTACGTGTGCAGCCCCCACATGCTCGCGGTGGATTCCGAGACGATGGAGGCATTTGTACCGTTCATGTCGACCCACTACTGGATTTACTTCTACGGGTGCAACAAAAGGTGCTGCACGACAACCCATTCCACTCGAACGTATTCATGAAGCATCGCCCGCTCCATGACGGACGCGGCGCGCGTCTGGTCGCATGCTAAACGCTGGTGCCTAGTGCCGCGGTGCCGCATTCGTCGGTGGTCCCTTGGGATGACGCGTCCAAGCCCTATCGAGAGGGATATCCCTCCGGCGGACCCCACCGCGCGATCGGGCTCGCTGATGCCGTCGATCTGGCAGAGGTACATTTAGCCCTTGCACCTGTGGTTGGTCGTTTTGACTGCCACTTGCAGAAGGAGTACAAGCTCCCAGCCGACGAACGCGTGGCATGGGTGATCTCTCGAGTCAAGACCAAGGTAATGTGCCGAGGAGGAGGCTGGTGCATCGTTTCTCAAAACGGCGGCGCTTTGAGACTGATGCGAGGATATTGTTGCGAGCAGGAGAGCGCGCAAGCGGCGAGGAAGACTCGACGAAGGTACGAACCGACCGTCGAGATGAACGACGCCATCGACGGTGCCGTGCGGGGGATCTCAGCGACCGGCCAGTTGAAAGGAGCGACAATGTTACGGGATATGCAGCTCGACGAATCACCGGCACAGTCGTCGCAAGCACCCACTCCGAATGCTGCAACGACGCCGTAGCGCCTGCAGCGACTGGACTGTGACTGGTGCATGAAGTGTACTATTATGAGATGGGCACTGCAAAAACAGAGTTCTCGCAGCTATGGAGCAGCACCTTGGGTGATGGCATTCCCATGCTACAATCAGTGGACGTCGAGAAGGTCTCTCGCCGCTCATGCTCATGGCGTCTGCCAGTTGGGAAGCGTAGCTGGCGAGCACGATTCGCCTGTGTAAGGAGGCCCTGTGTCTGGAGGCGTCAAGCATGCAGCTCGACACGTACCGAGAGTGCCGATATGTATTGGAGTTGTCGGAAAGCCCGTGGACTACTCCGATGCGCTCTTTTGACTGTGGCATGTTCATGTGATGGTGTTGATGCAGCATGGCTAGTGGATGAAGCATGGAGTACGAGTCGAAACAAATTCGTGGCCCTGTGCCTGTCGCAGCATCGCACATCGTTCGAGTCCTTGAACCAAGGCTGGAGGAAATCGACTGCCTCTAGCAACCTCCTGCCCCCTGAAAGTATGACCGAAGTCCTAAGGGTATGGCTGAAGCGGACGAGTGATCCTGCCGCGTCCAAACACCTACTGGGCGACCCAACCACCACGCTTCAAGTGCTCTCTAGCATACCTTCGCCACGCAGCAGGCCATCGTAGCTCATGGCTGTTAGTCCACGGACTCGAGCTACCATAGATGCGTCGACACCCGACAGGAACATAGCCTTCGAATTCGACGGGAGAAGGCCGCTTGCGTTCGAAGGCACATCGCACCGACCTACTACTACTGCCGCGACGTCCGGTCACTTGTCGTTCGCGCGGCGGGGGTTCCTGTGGACTTGGCAGCACCGCATGGACATGCTTGTAGCATCAACTTGTGCGAGTTGCAATTGTTTGAGCGCGGCGGCGTGGGCTGTCGGGTGCGGATGGTCGTGTGCTCGGTGGAGCCATTTTTGAATGTTGTAGCAGCAGCTTCGGCACCGTTCAAATGAACATGCACTTGCGCGTGCTACACGAGTGATCCAGTCGTCCAAGTCGATGAGGATGTCGTACCAACTGTGTGCACGCGGCATTGGGGACACGGCTGTCGGTCTGCCATGTTGTTGGTGGTCCAAATCGGGATCGCGGCGGCCTCCGTTGCTTGGTGAAGCATTTTCACGGCCTCGCGTTGCTGTCGGCGAAACTTGCACGCTGCTTCAGGAACGTTTCCAACAGTTGGGATAGGCGCAGGAGTCGGGCACACCCGACTAAAAAATGCCGAAAAGTCGGCGACCGTCGAAAAATGCCGAGTCGGGACCCCACGTGGCCCTGGTGCACTCGTCGACACGGGCAAAATTTCATTGCGTTCCTTTCGATTCAAGGCTGGTGCGACCTTACCTGTCGAAGCCGCAGTCGTTGATCGCGAAATGGTTGTCGTCACGATGGGCTGGGTGTGCAGCGCCAGGACCGTCGACCGAGGCATCGAATACCCTCTCTCTTCTTTGCAAACTCCATGCACGTGCTCGAGAAACGTCTTGGCCGGGACTGCCACCAGCGCCGCGTCAAG